AGAAAGACAGCAGAACCAACAGTATTTGCTTTGGGTTTTCCCTTTGAAGGGCACCTGTCAAAATTTGCACAGAAATTCTGGGAAGTCAACAGAATTGTTTAAAAAGGCAGACACAAGTCTTAGGGGAAAATGAGACTTAGAGCAATGATTTCCAGAAACCTGCATATGAACCCTATCTTCTACTCAATTCCCAATGTGACCAGTAAGGAGCATGGAAAAACCCCTTGCATTGGCCTTGTTCCACACATCTGAAATTGGATAAGATTTAGAAGACTGCTATGTCACAGGCTGCTGACAGTGATATAAAGAAATGTGGGAGTTGTAGACAGTGCCATTTCCCATGTACTTATCTAGAGAGAAACTAGAAGAATATGCACTAAAGCACAGAGGAGGAGAAAGGTCTACCTCTGTGATGATTAGTTTTAGGTGTCAACTTAGCTATAATACCCAGTTATTCACTTAAACACTAATCTAGATACTGCTGTAAAGATATTTTGTAAATGTGGTTAACATTTACAATTAGTCGACTGTAAGTCATCCTCAATAATGTGGGTGGACCTTCTCCAACTAGTTGAAATGCTTTAAGAGCAAAATGGAAGTTTTCCTGAGGAAGAATGAAATTCTGTCTCAAGACTGCAGCATCATCTTCATGGTTGAGATTATTCTAGACTGTTGGCCTGTCCTACAGTTGCCAGTCCTCACAATCATGAAAGCCAATTCCTGTATATATTCTCCTACTGGTTCTGTTTTTCCAGATTCTGTTTCTTTCTTTGACTGATACAACCACTGAAGAAAAGACTAGACTGCTGAAAACTGGTAGTCTCAGAAAAGGAGTCCCCATAGAAAGATCTCCAAAAATAAAGTGAAAGCATACCTCAGTTCTTTCAAGCTGTGAACATGGCAGATAAATTTGCGACAGCCAAGAGAAGCTTTCAAAACCTGCAAAACAAAGACAGGTCTTTACCAGCAAACATTGAGGAGAGCAAATGTAGAGACGGCTTCATCCAGCTAGCTGAGTTGAAGCCCATTTCAGAGGTGCCAGATTGTGGGACATCCTGGGTTCTTGCCTCCCCTTCCTGGGTGTGGATAAAATGAGAGTTCCTGTGGCCAGGATTCTCACCTGGCCCTGGTTGACTAGCTCACTGCACACCTGTGGGCAAGATAGCAATACATGGCTGTTGACTCTATAAACAACTCCGCCCAGTGCTCTGGGCAAGACAGGGTGGCAGGGCTGCAAGGCTGCAGGAAAGCAGAGCAGAGGAGAGGCTGGAGTGGTGGCAGCGCCAAGTACAGAGGCTCAGAGGACAGCTGTGAAGGACAACTGTGCAGAGAGGCCTAGAGGATGGCTGTGCAGACAGAGGGGCCCAGAGGCAGAGACTGGCTTGCTGCATGCAGACTCGCTCTGAGTGAATGGGATTCTAGTGACTGACCTGCCACCTGGAAATAAAGTTGGGTATAACCCTTTCACCCCAAGAATGTTTTGCTGTCATTTTGTTTGGTCACATTGAATCCATAGTGAACTTGCCCGGGGCTGAAACCCATTGGCAAGACACTGGGTATGTAATGAGGATAAAATAGAACCAAAAGTTACCCCAGTTTGCTTCATTTCTGAAAATTTAGGAACAATTGTTCACATTTCCAAGCTCTTCAGAATTACAAATTTCCTTTGTAATTCCAAATGCTTCTAATGGAATGGGAGTAGTCTGTGGACTTGAATGGGAAAATAAATTTTTATTTTGACTAACTTGTTGCTGAAATTTTGTATTTTCTTCATGACGAATGTGGGCAACAAATCACAGTCATATTTCAGCCCTTTTCACTCTATCACTATTGGAAATCACAAATATTTTCACATCAAATTGAGACAGGGACCGTGGGTGTAGTCAGACTAGGGTGAGGGCCTCTAGAAAAAGACCCCTACCAAAACTCCATATTAAACAATTAAAGACAGTCACATTAATTCTCTAAAGTAAAATATCAAACTAGGAATATAAACATTCTTCAGTGAAAATTAGTAAAACTAAAAAGCCAGGAATAACCTGGCCTAGAATGTTTAAACATCCCCCAGATAAGAAAATACTTCAGCATAGCCCTATGTCTTGTTTGTGTCAATTAAATGAGGCTATTGTAAAATTTACTTTAGCCTGCTAAAAAGCCCAGTTTATCTTTAACTTTACCCAGATGCTGCTTTTCCTCCTCCAGCCCTAATCAAGTCAGTAACTCAGCTCACCTTGAAAGCAAAACAAGCAGCCTAGACTGATACACTCCCAAACCAAGAAACTGCTACTCTCAGAAAGGATCAAAGCAGTAAATTTCTTACCTTAACCCTGCAAAATAGTCTGGAAAACTGATAAGAAACTTAGTGTCTCTTCAAAGATAAACATTTAGAGACCATTTAGTGGATTTGCATCCCTAGCTCTTTATCTCTCAACCGCCTATAAATCCCCTAGACAATGCACCACTACGGGCTGTCTTGTCCCCTCCTGGCTCAAGCCAGGAGCTCTGTCTATCCTCTCACTGTATCTCCCAATAAAAGTCTCTCTAGCTCTCCTACCTTGACTGTTTGCTAAGTTCTTCTTCGACTCGGCAAACAAGAACCCCGGCATTAAAATGAAGTTTATTGCAAATTTCTTTAAATAACAAATATGTCCATTACTGCTTTGAAATTGCAGTACTTATTCGGCCTCCTCCTGAATATTGTTATTTAGTGCATTAATAAAGGAGCATAAATATTACATTATAAATTTTAATATTTTGATATTCCAAAATAACTGATTTCCCTTTGAAATGTCATGTACTTATCTTTTTTCTTTATATTTGAAAGTATTATTCTGTGGCATCTAACTACCAGGGGTATACAGTACACAACCTGGTCAGAAGGCCTCTGTTTTATTGTCCTGGGAGAAATCCATACCAGGTCTAAATGTTTATGCAGAAAAAGCAGGAACATGCATATTTTTCTTAAGGCTTGCTGTTTCTTAAGGTTGCTGTTGCAACCTTATGAACGGAAAATGAGTATTTTCTAAACTCAGTGTATATATTCTCAATGTCAGGCAGTTTTATTCCATCTGATTGGTAACCCTCAACTTATTTACAATGCTCATCAGGCATGAAGATAGTGTTTGCTTCTCAAAAATAAGAAAGGCTGAAACACACGTAAGAGGTGCTTATTTGTTTCCTGAAAAAACAAACAATTGTATTCATGTGTATGCAAGCTGATGATGCTCCTTTCAAAGGTATCAAATTCTGAGATATAGGTCCTGAAGTAGGAGAAGAACACATTAGGAGTGCTTAGTACAGTCTTGCTTAGTAAATACCTGAAATACAAAAAATTTAACCAAAGAAGAGGCAAAAAAAAACATGTCTGATCACGCCACCCTATAGCTTCCAATTTTCTACAGATAAAACAGCCAAAGTCCTTACAAGGGCCTACAAGGCCAGAGATTTCATCTCCCTGGTTCTCCTACCCGTCTCCACTCTTCACTGTCTCCCTGAGGTTACTGGAACATCCCAATTTCGCTCTCACCTCCAAGCCTTTGCCCTAGAGAGGTCCCCAGTTCCAGTTCCTCTATTCCCTGATACTCGCATTGCTCTTTCATCACCCTCCCTGCTGGGCTCTCCTATTCTTTCCCATTAAATAAAAAAATCCAAGGTTTTATCGCCATTATTTTACTGATTTAGTGCTTTATTATCGTCTCCTCTATGCCCACGACTTCTTGAACGCAGGGACCACATCGCGGTTGTATTTCCAGAGCCTTGAAAGGTAACACTGGTTGAATGAATGCTTGAATGGAGAGGTGATATGCTGCAGAGAGGATGCCGGGCCTTGCCTCCCAGCGCCTTTTTTTCTGCACAGACAGACCGAGAAAGGAGCACGGACACTGGGACGCGGGCAGGAGTGGCCACCGGACAGTCCACGCGCTGCGAGCCTGGACTAGCCAGGAAAACCTAACTTTGAAGAATTCAGCACAGACCCGAAGCCTGCACCAGGGCCTGTGCTGAAGTCTTGAAAGTTACGACTTCTGATTAAGACATACCGTTAAACTGCTTACGTATCGGGGTCAGTGGCGCAAAGGGTAATGTGTCTAATTACGGATCAGAAAAGTCCTACTTCGAGCCTTGGCAGGCTCGGTAAATCCGTGGTAGTTTCACTACCCTCCTCTGCGGACAACTGATTCCTAACACGATGGAATTAGAAAATTCCTGTGCGATAAATTTATTTAGATGTGTGTCAGGAACGGAAAGCTGCCTCCGCTACACACGGTGTCATCACTCCTTTGCGGAGGAAACGTCTTATCTGGCCATGCGGTGACGCTAACCAAAGCGTAGCTAGAGAAATGTACCCTGTCCCCGTGTCACGCCTCATCTGTCTAGTCCATCCCTGCTGAAGGAATTTTGATGTAACCTATTAAGCAAATGAAAAAAAATTAAAATCCAGAAATTCAGATTGAGAAGTAATGGTGAAAGGTCATTCATGAAAATTAAAGTCACTCTTTTTCCTTCTATCCGGTAATTTCCAGAATAAATAATTAAGGATTTGGCTTCAGAGCTGTGCACTCCAGAGCGGTATACAAACGCTTAAGTACATGAAACACCGAACTCTCGCTAGGATAGGGCGAGAGGCGGGGCATGTTCCACAGGGAGAACCCCTCTCTCCAGAAGCAGAATTTTTACTGTGTGCTTATAGTGTAGTGGTTATCACGTTTGACTCCCAGGCGATACATTCTCGGTTCAGGGCTGGGCAAAACAAGGTGTTTTCCTATTATTAAACAAATTCCTCAAGAGTTGCTTTATTTTCTTCTTTTTTTAATTTCACGACTTCACAAATACGTTCCCCGCTTTTTCTTCTTGTCTTGGTCGCCAGGGATCGTGGTGCCGAGCCATTACTGCTTAAGAAGGGCGCGGAGTCCGACGGCCTAGCAGGCTGACACAAGTATCGCGAGGCAAGAACTAGGCTCTCCTTGGCTGCAGGGCTAGGCGGCCCGACGTCCTCAGCCCCGGAAGCGCATCCTCGCCGTCGTCGACCTTCCTGTTCCAGGCAGCATCGGGCTCCGCGCGTCTCGGCGGTATCCCGCGGTCCGCGCCGGCCCTGCCCCAGCCGAGGGCCCCCGCGCGGCCAGGGCCGCAGCTGGTAGCCCCGTGCCTTTAGGAAGGCCGCGAGATTACGGTAAGTACCTCGGTGGCGCTAGTGTGCGTCTCCGAAACGGGAGCAGTCCGGCTTCCCTCCACATACTTGGGAGCCTCTTGCAATCTGGCCTTCGTCGTGATTAGGGACCTCGGTCCCTGACCCCACCTTGCCTGCCAGTATCCAGAGTAACTGCAGCATCCCTTCTGGGCTCCGAGTGTGAATCTCTGGAAAAGGCGGAATCCGGGAGGTAGGGTCACAGGTAGCAAGCCCTTCTCGGAGACTGTAGGATAGAAAAAGGGGAGGCAAGAAGGGGATTGGAATGGATTGAGCCCCAGAGCTGTGGCCCGGAAGAGGTCTTGGCGGGAGGGTTGGGCTGGCCTGGCCTCGAACTCCGGGTCTCTACCGCTTACGGGGCTTCACCTTCGGGAAATCCCTACTTAACCCGACCACCGAAGAGCGGTAAGACCTCCGCTTTGGCCTCCTGCTTTCTTCGTCAAAAAGAAAAAAAAAATCACAAAGTTAAGAAATGGACCGGCTGTGTATTCTGAGTATTGCCTTGAAGCTGGAAGCACCTGTTTAAAATCAGGATTCGCACCCTGGTGTTTGATCTCTGACTTCTGTCTGACACTTGTAAATTGGATCGATCAAATGCCCTCCTGGGAAAGAAGTCTTGATATTGCACCTAGTAACCTCAGGATTTCCTTATTGGATGTATTACTGTTACTATTACTATTTTTAAGAGTTAGCCAAGCCTGGTCGTTCAGATCACATCGCCCCAGGTTCCTTCAAATGATTGATATGAATAGGATGTTTTTTTTATGGCCATAAGAAAGGAAAAGGCAGTTCTTACCTAATGAGCTTCTTTGTGTTGCTTTTATTTTAAACAGGCCACTTGTACAGTATAGACATTCGCTTTCCCAGACCTATTACTCCATTTTTATACCTCCCAAAGCTCATGGTATTGGTTCCCTTGTTAGCAACATAATAAGCTTGGACATGTGCTCAATAGAAATTTGTCCAAAACGTTTTCATTTAAAATCCCCTCTGAACCACTCAGAAATAAAACCCAGTTAATGTGGTGTGCTGCAAGGAAACAAGGGTCTCTGGAGCCCAGGTGGTGAGGTAGATTTGTCCTCTCCATTTCTCTTTTTTTTTTTTGAGAGGGCATCTCTCATATTTATTGATCAAATGGTCGTTAACAACAATATAATTCTGTATAGGGGACTCAATGCACAATCACTAATCAACCCCAAGCCTAATTCTCTACAGTCTCCAATCTTCTGAAGCATAACGAACAAGTTCTTACATGGTGAACAAGTTCTTACATAGTGAGTAAGTTCTTACATGGTGAACAGTGCAAGGGCAGTCATATCACAGAAACTTTCAGTTTTGATCA